CACATACTTGACACACCCACCTCATGATCAACTCTCGTGAATAATAGAGACCTTTGAGTTCTTATTTTAACCTTGAATTGTAGGCTTACCTATCTGTTATTGTCAATGTCTTTGCGGGGCCTACATTTCATTGTAAATGTTTTCTCACTCTATTCTATCAATTGTTTTTATCGAGATTTCTAGATCTTCGAGTATGTCTTCAGTATTAAAACCAAAATTATATTTTTTGAATACATGTAATTGCTTCTTTGGGACTAGATATCTAGATAGATCTAGATCTAGATCTAGATCTATAATATGAACTTTTACTTTCATAAATCAGTCAAGGAATCTCCAAATATGGCGCTTTTACGCTGGTTTTGGCCTCAAGAGTAAACTATGGGGGCTTGCCCCCCCCCCCCCCCCCCCTGAGCTAATAAAAAATACAGAGGGGGGGGGGATTGCAGATAGGTTTGATGTCTCTCGCTCGCCGAGCATCAAACATAGCGTATTAATCAGGGTTGCCACTCTTTATTTTGAGACAAACCCAGATCCGGCCAATTTGGGTCAAAATAAACCCAGATTTCTGTCCATAAACCCAGATACATAGTTTATATAAGGGGAAAAAAGGCTTGAGGTAAAAAATAAAAAAAATTTTTTTTTAATTTCCACAAAAAAATTTAAAAAGTTAATTAATTTTCAACTTCAATATAAGCAATTTTCAGAATACTCCAACATTGAAAATAACATTGCTTACAGCGTGTGCAGTAGGCCAGATTTTAATGACAACATATATAATTTAGCCTACGATGTAGGTGGCCTACTTAATCTCAGTATAATAACACAGTATGTGATCATTGTTAAGAATCAAATGAGCCAAGAACCCAGATTTACTCAAATTTCCCTTGTACCCTCCCAGAACCCAGAACCCAAGTCGAAATACCCATATCTGGGTTCAAAAACACAGGAGTGGCAACCCTGGTATTAATAGATCTAGATCTAGATCAAGGCTCAGATAAACGTGGTGGCACAGAATTCTACACACCCTGTGTGTTTTGATATAGCTATTTTTATGTCCCCATCAAAAACAACAGAGAACATAGAGGAGGGAGGCGGCCTACCCTGCCTGTCAGGCCAGCTGGGCTCAGCGGGCTACAACATCCCCGCAGAAAGACCGGGATGTCGATAAAAATGTTCTCTTCATTTGGAAATGGAACCTGGGTCTGTTGTGTGCGCCAGTGAAGGGCCTAACCGCCTGACGTGGTGAGATGGAATGTGACGTGGTGAAATGGGACATGGCGTGGTGAGATGAGACAGCGGGATACGGCCACAGAAGTCCCAGAATTTGTGTTGAAGAAAGTGGAGATTGGAACACAGTCGAAC